GGAGGGCTGCACTGTGCAGGATATAATGGGAATTAGGACATTTTCTCATTTTCTATGGTGACCCTGGCTCATCTTCTGTAATATCAACTGCCATCCTGATCATCCTATTCCCTCACTGTAACTGGAACCCATCCACTCTCCAGGGACATGCCAATGTGAAAACCCAGGGGAGCCCCAAAGGAATCACTGATCTAAGCTACAGCTCCCTGTGTGGTCAGCCTGAGTCCCCAAATCCCAGTTCCCACCAGCCGCAGGGCAGGGAGCCCAGTGAACTGGCATTCCAGAGAGAACAGGTGGTGGAGCCCCAGAGGACAGGACCTGTGGGCTTTGTTGGAATGCGTTGTCTTCAGTGTTTCAGAGACACAGGTAAAGAGAGAGGTAACAAGTGTATCCAATCAACACGTTTGTTGTGCAGCTTAAATTTACATGTTTTATATCAACTGTTTCTCAGTAAAGCTGCAGGAATAAGAGACATAGACACACACATACTAACATTAACTGTTATTATACAGGACTGGGAGGTGTCTCCTACTAGAAATAATTTCTACTAGAACTAATCTGAAACCACAGTTCTACAAGGTTTTTTATGCCTATGGTATATACCCCCCTACACACACACCCACACACACTGTCCCCTCCCTACTCCCAGCCCCTACATTGACACAGGTGAAATACTTTGCCGAAGATGGCAGGAAGCTCACAGTTCAATGCTCTAAGCAATTAAGTTAGGTGCATTCAGTGATTAGAGTCCTAACTGATTTCAGATGCATCTTTTAAAATACAAATAATACGTGTTTATTGTAGAAAGTTTAAAAACACCGTTAAGCAAGAAAAAAATTTTCAAAACTTTTAAGCGCCCCAATCTCGCCATTCAGGAATTACTATTAAATTTTAAATTCCAGTTTGCATTGCTTTAAATACTCAAATGCATGCATGTGTGCGCATACACACACACACACACACACACAGGAGCAGCTGAGACTAATGAATGACGGGGACATGAACTCACTTTGGGGCGAGTAGAGCTTTGATGTTGGATGCATGGAGGCATGGAGTCTGGTGGGAATGAGGAGAGCATGACTGCTGGTAAAGCCTCGGTCCCCAGCCTGCCCCGAGCCACAGCTCAGCCCCGTGGAGCAGCCCATTCATCTTCCTCATCCTCTGCAGAAAGCAGCACGACTCCACCCAGCACCGGACCAAGGCAGGTGTTGGCAGCCAGGTGAGCATGAGGAGGACCTCTGGGGCTGACCTCCCCAAGGGACCAGCCGCAGGAGCAGGGTCTGTCTTCAAGCACCTCTGCAGGTGATGGAAACCAAAGGCCAGAGAGAGAATCTGAGGTGTGGTGGACCTAACAGGTGGGAAACACCCATAAGTCCCCCAGAGATAACTGGGGGAAACTGTTCTACATAATTTTATGCCATATGGCATTTTGTTCTGTGGATAAATGATAATTTATGAATTAACCCTCTATTTTTGGACATTTCAGTTGCATGTCAGGACTTGTGTTCAGATGCAAAATATCCCACCCCTGAGACAATATGACTTCAGTTAGGATTGTATTTTTCTCATGTAATGGAAAGTCTGGAAGGAGGCAATGCTGGCTGACATTGGGTTAATGGGTAACCCACATCCCATCAGAGTCCAATCTCAGGATAAAGAAGGAGAGGGGGCAGAGGTCATAGGTCAGGAGGGTGCTGGTAACAGCTGATTTCTCTCACAAAGCATTTTCCTGAAGGTGGCGCCCCATGAAGGTCCACCCCTACTGGCAAAAGGGCCCAGAAAACGATTTTAAACATATTGCTCCTCACCTCCCACGCTGGCAAAACTGAGGTTCTGTTAGTAAGGAAGATTAGAAACACATTGTCTGAAAAGCCTTTCACCACATCATTGAAACTACATCCTGACCTAAATTTTTCCTTGAGATCAAGTCAGAGCAGTAAAATTGTTCCTTTAAGGAGCTGTAGAGGGTTCTAAGACTTCTCAACCAAGTTGCCCTTTAGAAACATTGTACTAACTTACATTCCCATCAGCAGTTTCTGATAAAAAGAGAAAGTATCTCTTTAACAGCAATATTACTATAATCCCTTTTTACTTGTGCCCTTTGATACTTTAATAAGAAAAAAATTTTGCACGACTTTTTTCCTGAATTGTTTAAAAATACCTTTAAAATATGGACTGGTCTTGTTTCAGTGCATATCCATGTGGCACGGACGCTGTGGACCAGTGCTTCTTAAATTTCCATGTGTGCACAAATAACCTGGAATTTTATTAAAATGCAGGTTCTGATGCCACAGGTCTGGGGTCAGCTGAAAAATCTGTATTTCTGAGAAGCACCCAGATGACACAGGTGCTGCTGGTCCCCAGACCTCACTTTGGGGAGCACGTTTGTAGGCGCCCCACCAGTGCAATCTCATTATAAGACAGAACATGTCCGTATGCTGAGTGAGAGCTACTCTCTTCCCTGAACAGGACCAGCCTCCACACAGAGGAGGGTCAGGCTAACAAACAACCCCAAGCGTGGACTCTCTGGAACCCAATCTCTACCTCTGTGTTGCTGCAGAGGGAATAAGAGTTCTGCTCAATTCAACACCGGATTTCTTAGTGAGCTGGGAGGCTTCTGCAAAAAGCCAGAGCTGCCTTAAGCAGGTTCAAGTCAGTAGTGGGGGAGAAGTAAGAACATTAAGCACCTCTGCAGCTGTTGTCCACATGGAAACCAAGAGCCTGGAATGGCAGAAAATGAGTGCCGTTCGTGAACACCTGGCGAAAGCAGCAGGATCAATCGTTAAAATACTAATTCAGGTTTGGCGCTCTTTTTTCCTCACTGCACCCATTTCAAGCTGGCAGCCAAGCTTCACACTGCCTTGCCTCAGGGATTTGGGCCAGACACAACGATTCTGCCCTGCTTTTGTAAAAGCTACAATAAATCCTGGGTGACATTATGCCAAGGGCCTGGAAGGTGGAGGAGAAGGGAGAAGGGGGGAGAGAAAGTTTCCAGAGCAGGGCAGAGTAAGGAGGGGCTATGGGCACCTGGGGAGGCCATAGGACCTCAGAGGGTCTGAGGAGTCCCCAGAGAGCTGGGTCCCCAAGCACCCCTCCCCAGATTTCTTTCCCTAGGGACACAGCTGAACTGCGGGCTCTGAAGGACCCAGTGCCAAGGCAGTGGGGGCAGGGGGAGGGGGATGGCATGGGAGTGTTTGGGGGGATTACCTGCTTATATTTCTTATCTTGAAGACCGCTTTGTCTGATCTTAAGGTAGTCACACATAGTTTTCTATGCTTTGAGTTTGCATAGTACACCTTTCCCCATTCTTTTAGCCTGTCTGTGTCCTTATATTCAAAGTGTGTCTCTTGTAAACCTTTTCGTCATCATGGGACTGCACCATGGCCTACAAATAATTAGGGGCTGTGGCACTTGTAGGGCTTAGAAAGTCCCCAAGGGTCATAAGATGAAAGAGTTTTTAACACCACTGATGTACACTACCTTTTTCATCAGTGGGGAATCAGAATATGGGTGAAAAAAATCCCATAGATTAGAAGTTGAGTTCAGGGAACAGCAGCACCCATGGTTGCTGGATACCCTGCCTGCCCAGACAGGTGACGGGTGTGAGGACCTTTCAACCTGGGAAGAGAATCTGAGTGTGTG